AGAGTCTAAGCCAAGAAGTCTCAAATACCATGTTTTGATGTGCCACCTGTGCTCAGGTAAACTCCAAAGCGATCTGGGCTTAAGGAAGTGGGCCTAGAGAACATTGGGGGTTGGACTTTACTGAAATTTAGCCTACAAATTTGGCTATGATAATTTGTAGACACCTTCCAAGGATGCATGGAGGCATACCCCACCCAAACAGATTCTGCTCCACTAATTACTAGGAAACTTCTTCAGGAAATAATTCCCAGGTTTGGACTGCCCCTAGCTTTGGGGTCTAGCGATGACCCAGCCTTCACAGCCAAAATGTCTCAAAATCTGAGAAAGGAATTAAGTATTAATTGGAAGTTACATTATGAATATATATAACACAGAGTTCAGGTCAGTAAAAATAATGACTAGAACTCTAAAGGAGACTTTTGACCAAATAGGTCCTGAAAAACTGGTGAAAAATTGAGCCAATCTCCTCCTTATCCTGCTCTGAGTCCGATGTACTCCTTACCAAGAGGGCTTTCTCTTTTCAAAATTAAGTGTAGGCAACCACCTTCCATCCTCCCCAAACTCAAAGAGCTTCCTCAGGCAGAGATGTCTAATCACTCCCTTCTCAAGCCCTTGTAGGCTTAGCAAGAAGCTTGCCAGGCCATTGATCTGACCATTAGAGCATCCTGTCATCTCCCATCTCTGAGCCAACCACCCAGGAGACTTGGTTTAGATAAAGAGAGTCCCTGCTTGGCCCGTGAGATCTCTCTGGAAGGGACCCTACCCACTCATCCTCACCACCCCAACTGTTGTCAAAGCAGCTAGTGTCATCCCTTGAAAAAAAGGCCACTAAGGGATGACAGATGGACCATCACTTGGACCTTTGACACCTTATAGATAAGACTGACCAGAGTTTACTAACCCATGATACCATCACAAAATCCTTACCAACCCCAAACCTGGATGTAGGAATTCAGAACAAGCAGGAATGAGAAACTCTAGTTTTAGGGTGTACCTTTGCTCTCTTATGTCCTTTCTATGAATGAAACAATATGGGTCTAGGAAAGGGACCGGGGGTCATTATCAGGTTATGGAGAAGAGTGGACAGAAAAAGGCCTTCAGGGTTTACAGTTTTATACCTTCTCTCCCAAGGATAAGGTACCTGCATCATGCCTTTAAATTATCTGGCTTGTGCTGATGGTTAGACTAAATGTACCTCCTCTGTCTCACTGGAAAGTCACACCCCCACTGGATGTATACTGGCCTATGTTATCCTCTCGATACATGCCTATAATGGAGAAGAAGGGAGATGTTATAATGACCTTGATTCAATGTTAACAGAGGTCAAATGTGTCCCAATTCTGGTCCCCATTAGGTATGGGTAGGAATAGCTGATGCTGCCATAGCTACCTCAAATTTGATTGTTGGGGATGATCCCAAGATTTATGACCTAAGCTGAAGGAACAGAAAGCTGAATATATTTTCAATTTCTTTTTTTTTTGTATGGCTTTGTCAAAATTTATCAATAAAAGAGCTGCAGGAGGCAGGGCCCTTGCTAGGTGACAGTGGATGGCTCTGCATCTTTCCACAGAGGCCTCGTATCTCCTATGCACAGGAAAGGAGGCTTATGGGAGCTTTGGGCCAATGTCTGAACCAAGTCTGGCTTTCACCAGGCTTCCTGGAAATTCTGCACCCTGTTGTTCTAAGGTAGGAGAGGAGGGTGATGATGAGGTTGTGGGAACTGGATGCCAGTGCCCTGGAGTACATACATGGGCCTGTACTTTTTAAAATAAGTAAAGGAACGAAGTAATGAGGGATCACAAGTAAAAGATGATGGAGAGAGTTAGAGAGGAGAAAAAGAATAGTTGGGAGAAAGAGAAAGAGTGTGAGAGAAAGCAATAGAGGAGTGAGAGAGAAAAGCTCAATGGATGGAAAGAAGACATAGATCAGGAAATTAGTATCAGTCTCTGATGACCTGGTCCCTATGGCTGGCCACTTTACTGTCACCATTAGCTGAACCATCAATTCTTGTCTTTATTGGGCTAAAGGTGGAACCCTGCATGCTCGGCTGCATGGCCAACTGCGTCAGACAGAGAATAAACTCATTTAAGCTACTGGTCCCTAGAACCATCTATGCCCTCCTAGAACAGGATGAGTCAATGATTTGACTCATGCCTTTGATCCAGTGGGCAATGTGACAGGGCGAGACAGTGCAGTGGTTCCTCCAGCTTGTATTCTTGTTGAGGCCATTTCAGGTACAAATAGAATTTGATTTCTATGATGAAGTATCCCATGGAAAATTACTCAACTCTATTCTAGGGACCAAAGATCAGGAATGTTCTAGCTAACTTAGTTTTGGTTAAACTGCCTGTTTGTACAAAACCCCCACTCCAGCTAACTGCTTATTTTAGCTTTCGTTAAACAGCTTGCTTCAAAGTGCTTACAAAGGCCCTCTGAAGCTGGAGATTCTAGGACAAGGTTTCTGACATTAAAATCCCTGTGTTCTGAGCACTTGGGGCCCCATCCAGGTGCCAGATACCTGAGTGTGGTCCTAGCCAGCTGGAATAAAGACTGTTCCAAAGCTGTTACCAAAGTCAATTCTAAATGGGAGGTCTTCATCAAACTCCTCCCTTCAAGGCTCAGGGATCTATACCCAAGCCAAAGCAGAAAGATTGGAAGATCCAGAGGTCGTGGATCACTCTAAGGAAACAAAAATCTATTTTCTGGACAAAAAGGTCAAAAATAAAACTGAAATCAACACACTTCATCATTCACTCTCTGTTTGCAGCCTGACTTCAAGACTTGTGGTGTCTTACACAAAGTTAATCCTAACTCCCAGTGGTGCCTCCTCACAAGTGGCCAGTCTAAGAAAGGACAAAGGATACTGTGAGATTTATCACTTACAATAGTGGGATATCCACTTCCTACTTTCTTTCAACTTTCAGAAAACAATCTCTTTCATTCCCAATCTCCTCCTTCTCCTCCTCTTCTTCCTGCTCCTCTTCCTCTTCCTCCTCTCCTCTTTCTCCCTCCAGCTTCTTCTTCTTCTACCCTGGTCTCTCACAAGCAGCCTTCTGTGTTTCTGGATCTCCTCTGGCATATATTTTTATCTCGCAATTCTTCCCTATTAACATTTTAACCCCCATGCTTTCAGCTCACCATTCATGGCTTGATGACTTCTTATTGCTCTAGGACCTTAAGGGGGTGGGGTGATAACAAGGAACCACATCCTATCCCCAGCTCAAACAAACAAAATTCCCTCTCAAATTGCCTTGGAACAGCTAACACTACTCCAAGGGAGGCCTGCACAGAGCTGGGATATTGTCACTTATAGGGTTAGAGAAACAAGTCCAATTCAGACAAATCATTCAGGTATCTTGGCACTCCCCTGCTTCCATGTGGTTCAGGTGATGGTCGAGGCTGCTGTCACTTATAGACGTCTTGCCCTCTTATGTTTTCTGGGCTCAGGACAAAGGCAATCTTCTCAATGAGAGTTGCAGTGTGAGGATATTGATGCCCTAATTCCTGCCCGACATGAAGTGCATCCTGGACCCTATTATCTTACCGGGACATCCAAAGCCTAAAGGAAGAGCCTTAAGGTTGAACCTCCACTCAGGAAGGTGATCTGCCACAGAGTGGAGAACATTTAACAGAACTGCCTCCTCCTCCTCCTCCTCCTCCTCCTCAATACATTAGCTAGCTATGGTCACAGTCACAGTTACCTGTTAGATGTCACCATCCTCTCAGGATCCTAGTGAATGAGAGTCCATTGTATTGGGAAGTTCTCAAACTGCACATTTGTGTCTCCATGTACTTTATCTCCCTGCCTATTATGTGGATGTATAGTCTAATGAAGACCAACCAAAGGACCAGAAGCCCTAGTACCATCCTGATGCCTCCATGAACTCAAATAAAGCCCCAGTGGCTGACTCATGTGTCTCACATTAAATCAGAGTTCCCCCTGTTGATTCCTAAATCCTGTCTATTACGTCTGTAAGAGGAACGGGGAAATCAGAAGTGAGGCTTTGGAAAAGCCACACAGAAGAGTGTGCAAACAGGAGACCATGGGTGTTTTCTCCTGTGTCTTGTGTCCACCTTCTCTCTGTAGCTGCAGTGCACCAGTCTCTAGAGCTACAGTGCATCACCCTGTCTAGAGCTCCAGTGCATCAACCTCTCTAGAGTTCCAGTCCATCAGCCTGTCTGGAGCTGCAGTGCATCAACCTCTTGAGCTGCAGTGCATCAGTCTCTTTACAGCTGCAGTGCATCAGCCTCTCTGGAGCTGCAGTGCATCAACCTCTAGAGCTGCAGTGCATTTATACCCTAGAGCTGCAGTACACCAGCCTCTCTAGAGCTGCAGTGCATCAACCTCTAGAAGTGCAGTATATTTATACCTAAAGCTGCAGTGCAGTGGCCTGTCAGCTCCGAGAGGGAAAAATCCCTCACACCTTCAGCTTTTCTTTTCCTCTCACTCTTCCTCTCCATCTATGGGAAAACCCCTCTTCTTTCTTCCAACTTCTCCCACCTGAGCCTGGTCCTGCTGTAGCATATCTCTCGTGGTGTTGGGATGCATGCACTCCGGGGCCTGCTATTTGGGACTGCTGTTGTCCACAACCTACTGCAGGCAGGGCAGCATGCTTAAGTCACGACTGCCATGATGCATGCTGAAGTTAGCATTAACAGCACTCTGTGCTGCCTTTGTCCTTTCTGATTTGGCATGGAGTATTCAGTTTCTTGGGGCTCATGACCTCAGCTTTTTTATCTCATTAGTCTTTACTGTCTGAAGAAACGAAATTCATTTGAAAATAAGATAGCTACAATTCTACCTTCAAGTGAGCTCTAGCCATTCCAATTTTTCAAAAAACCTATATCTTCAACACAGTCTCCTTTAAAGGAAAAGGAACCTTTCCTGTTTTCAAGATTTTTAACAGAAGACTTACTTGTCTGTGGCTTGGCAGCCTTTATTTTTATGTGGATGGTGTGTGATGTGCATGTGTGTCCATGTGCACATGCACACTTGTGATTGCAGAAGACTGAGGTCAGAGACAAGCATCTTCCTAGCTTATTCCCCACATGATTTATGGAGGCAGGGTCTGTCCCTGAACCTAAGCTCAGCAACTAAGCTAGTCTCAATCACCCTCAGGACCCACAGTCTCTGTCTCCTGAGCCCTAGCTTATGATACAGGTGAGCTAACATACCTGCTAAGCTTTTATGTGGGTGCTGAGGATCCAACTCATGTGGGAAGTGCGTTATCCACTGAGCTCTCTCCTCAGCCCCAACCTGAATTTTGACTTCACTATTTTCCCCAGATCATGTCCTCCTTATTAGATTAACTGAAATTAATTCAGTCCGACTCTTGTTTAATTTTTGTTTGTTTGTTTTTTCGAGACAGGGTTTCTCTGTGTAGTTTTGGTGCCAGTCCTGGATCTCGCTCTGTAGACCAGGCTGGCCTTGAACTCACAGAGATCCACCTGGCTCTGTCTCCCAAGTGCTGCAATTAACGGCCTGGGCCACCACCTCTTGGCTGTCATATGTGTTTAATTTTAACACAGATTTCCAAAGCTGTCATCCCTAGACCTCTCCAAACACTAATGAGACTATGGCTGGTGGATACAAACAATAATGAGACTTTTACTTTAAAGGACATAACCTAAACAAAGCACTGGGAAACATGAAAATTCAGCCTTGCTGTTGTCTACCTCACCTTTCCACAAACTTACAAAGGTGCAGGGCCAGCCACGTGGACTTTTAAAGTGTCTTCCCACGTGACTCTTTGCTAAACTAAACACAGGTGAGTTATTGAAAACCTGTGTTTCTTGAAAGAATTTCTCCCTTGTCTCAATTAACTCATGCTTTCAAGTAAATGTATATTTGTTGCAACTGAACCCCTTTTTATCCCTGCTGCTTGCTACAATTAGAGGTCCCCAAGGTCATTTAGAGCCCTACTATGATACTAGATGTAAGTGCCCTGAAAAGACCAGGGTGTCAGGACTTCAGTATTAATCACTGCAGACATACCAGTAAACATTTATGTCGTCCTATATGCATGGCATTGTAATATTCAATGCTGTCTATATATCTGATGTCCACACACTGATTATAAGTAGTCTGCCTTTTCAGTTTTTTTTTTCAATTAAGAAATCATGTTGCCTCCAGCAATGGGAAAGGACCATAAGCTGTTGGGTGTTCATTTCCTTTTTACCTGTGGAAAACTGTAAGACTCAAAGCTTGGTTGCCATTATAAAACAGACAAGGACACCTCCCACCCATGATCACTTTTCATAATGGCTACAAGAAAATCGACCACAGCCTGAAGCAGGGTGCCCTGCACAAAGACTTTTGAAATGTACTGACCCGCACTCTAGATTCTCCCAGGAACAAGCGCTTTGCAAGGGCCCTCCTGTGGAAATAAGATGAAAAAGAGGAGCTGTTAGAGGAATACAGCATTTCAGCTTGGCAAGATGAAGAGACTTCTGGAGATGGGTCACATACTAACACAAAAATATGTAAAGTTGTTGATCTCTAAAGTATAAAGGCTTTTTATTTATCTCTACTTTACTACAATAAATAAATTAATTAATAAAATAATTAATTAACACATGGGGATATGATATACTAGTAGTGGGATTGCCTAGAAACCACCAGGTCTTGGGTTCAATTCACATTACAAAAGGTGGGGGGGAGCATAAATAAGGAGAGGAGGAAAAGAAATATAAACAAAAAGAAAACTGGATGAGGAATTTAGAGGCACCAATCAGTTTTTAGAATCAATCCATATCAACATTGCATGGAAATATTGACTCTGAACATCACAAAACATCCTTCCCATACCCATCAATGAACCAGGCAAAAACCTCCGTTCCCTCTGGCTCAAAGCAGATAGGGGCCACAGTGTGGAGAACACACCTCCAAATGAGAAGCTGAAAGATGGGAGGTGGGATTGGCTACTGAAACAAGCCACATACCTTGTAGTCTCATCAGGGTACTTAGTTTGTTCAAAAACTTCTTCCAGTTCACTCAGCTGCCTGGGTGTGAGACCCAACTGGATCCGTGGCCTTGTGCGGCGGAACTGTGGAACCCTGGCAGCAGCCAAGTTCTCCTGCTTCTCCAACTGTGGGTGTCCAGACCCTTGGTGGCTCCCATGGCTCTCATCTTTGATGTCATCACCAATGTCATGGATCACATCATCCTTATGGTCTGGAATGCCCTGGTTCTTTAGTTTTTCCGGACCATTTAGAGGACCTTCAAAGTTGCCATTTTCTGCTGCTGGAGCAGCCTCTTGTTCAGCCTCAAGGATCACCTCGATCTCATTTTCAACCAGCTTGTAGAAATTGGGGTCTACATGTTGGAACTGAAAAGCCATGGTGGACCTAAAAGGGAGTAAGTAGTGTCACCTCTACAACTGTTCTGTGGATTGAATGGTATTGCAGTGCCTGGGGTTTTTGCAAATTTCATATCTGCCCTTTCTATCCCACAATCCCTACAGGAGATATGTGGTCAATGGGAGTGGCTCTTGGGAGCATTAGCAGAATGTACCCAACTTGGAATCCAACCAAGCCCATCAAAACCTCGAGAAGAAGGGACTTTAGGATTAAGCAAGCTGTTGCAAGTGCACAAGCAAGGACAAGGACAAGAATTTACATTGAGCACATGGCCCCTGAGTGAACCTCTAGAGAACTTCTAGCCTCTATATCTCACTGTGCACATTGCTGGAACTAGGAATTAAGTGCTCATGGTTATCTCAGTTTGTGTTTGTTCCAAATTTCTGTATGAACACTGAAAACACAGCCAATCACTGTCCTCCATCAGCAGCAATGGCATGTTTATGGAGCCAGGTATGTGCAGCATTCTGGTGGACGAGACACTGCAAAAAGATTGATGTCATCAGTGAAAAAAATTCACATACTCCAGATTGTTGATGAGGAATCTCCATCACAGTTGTATAATGTCCTGTCCAGTGCTTCTTGTGTCTGCAAATGCTGACACTGCACGGTTAACTGCCCTTTTTGTAGTGTCAATAAACCACTTAAGGTTGAGCATGCATTGTAACAATACCTGGGTTGATTAAACACCATATGTGCATTAAGGAAATGAAAATGAAAGAACGTCAGGCCCAGTTCTTTTCAAGGAGTTAATAGTCTCAAAGAAGTGTTTTCAGTGTACGGAGATGTTGGAAAATATCAAGAGGATCTCATTAAGAAATGTAATCCTTCACCCAGCAACTGATAGAAACAGATGCAAACATTAGGTGGACCTCGGGGAATCCTGTGGAAGAGGTAGAGGAAGGTTTATGGAGCCAGAGGTGCCAAGGAAAACACAAGAAAACCCACAGAATCAACTAATCTGGGCTCATAGGTTCTCATAGAGACTGAATCGCCAGGCAGGGAGCTTACATGGGAATGAACTAGGTCCTCTACACATACTTTACAGATGTATAGCTTGATCTTCTTGTGGGGCTTCTACCAGTGGAAGCAGGGGCTGTCTCTGACTCTGTGACCTGCTTTTGGGACCCTTTCCTCCTACTAGATTGCCTTGTCCGGCCTTAACAGGAGAGGAGGTGCCTCGTCTCACTGCAACTTGATAAACCATGGCTGGTGGATACATAAGGGAGGCCTGCCCTTTTCTGAAGAGAAAAGAGGAGGAGTGGATGGAGGGAAGAGGGAAGGTCAGTGGGAAGGTCTGGGAGGAGAGGAGGAAGGGAGGGGAAATGTGATTGGGCTGGGAAAATAACTAATTAATTAATTAATAAAAAAGAAAAACTAGGGTTCAATATTACTTTTAAAACTTAATACTGAATTTACTAAAGTTACAGATTAAGAAACTTAAAAACATAATTCCTTTTTTAAAAGATGATTATTTGTTTGTGTGCACATGCTTGCGGGTGCCTACAAGGAGCACTGGAGGCCCTAAAGCTCAACTTACAGATAGGTGGTTGTGAGGACCTGAGGTGGATGCTGGGAACTGGACTCTGGTCCTCTGAAAGAACAACAAATGTTCTTGACCATTTAGCCATCTTCCAGCCCCCTCACACAAATGCAAACTTTTTCTTTCTTCATTTCAGTTGTAGAATCCCAGAGCTTTGTGATATTAGGGCAGTGAGTATGATTGCTAAGAAAGTTGTAGTGCAAATAGTTTGACTTGCAAATGTGAAAATCAATGTCCTTAAATGCAAAAGCCTTGTCAAATACCCATAGAGTTGGTAGCTGAGTAGATTTGGAATCCTTTTAATTGCTGAATTTATTTGTTA